TAGGCGCCAAATACCCATCTACCTACGTGTTATCTATCTGTCCATACATGATTATCTATCTATCTATCCATCCACCCATCCATCCATCCATCAATAAATCCTTCCATCTATCCACCCATCCATCATATCTATCTATCTACCTATCTATCTATCATGTATCTATATGTATCCACCCATCCATCCCTCTAACCATCCATTTCTGTGTCTGTCTGTCTGTCTATCTGTCCATCCATCCATCCATGGACAGGGATAGCACTCACAGAAATATGGACAACAAAAAACAATGTCGTGGGAAAAGCAAGGAGAGTAGTTTTGCCACGAGGTGCTGGAAGGCCGAGGAGACACCCCTGCGATGTCTGAGACACGGGAAGAAAGACTGGGGTCCCCCGGAGACCTCACGGTGACGAGAGAGAGCCCCGGACCAGAACGGATGGCCCTGTGACAGGATGGCCATGCAGACAAGAGGCAAGTGTTGCTCAACTGGCCCGAGATAAGGTACTGGGTGGAACAGAACACGAAAGTGTCCAAACGCTGGTCACGGCACACACTGGTTTTGCAGCGTTTTGTAGGGACATAAATGTACCTGATGTAATCGATGGGTGCTATGAGCTGAATTACGTCCCCCCGCCAAATTCACACAAACTCCTCCCCCCTGGGGCCTCAGACTATGGATATATCTGGAGATGGGGTCTTTGAAGAGGAGATTAAGGTTAAATGAGGTCAGTAGAGTGGGCGTGAGCGTGATCCCACAGGACTGAGGTCCTTATAAGAGGAGTTTAGGATACAGAATGGCACAGAGGGACGCCCATATGAGGACACGGGGACAAGACGGTCTACACACGAAAAAGAGAGGCCACAGGAAGAACCAGTCTCAGCCCCGCCCGGATCTGACTCCCAGCCTCCAGGACCAGGAGAAAAGACACGTATGTTATCTGAGACATGTCATCGAGGGTATTTGTCACAGGAGTCCAGTAATGGCACACCCAGCCCGGGGGAAAAGCAGCAGAGAAATCACCCAGTGACCCTTCCTCACAGAAAAAGAAAATCCCCAACGAAGCTTGCTCGGATAGCACCCAAAAAAGAACGTCAAATCCTGTCCGAGCGCAAGGTAACACCATGACCCGACAAAGACCCAACCAGGTTGCTCCTACTCATTGATCTTTTCGATGATCAGGAGCCCGGCTGCCCTGTACCTAAGGCAACCGTCAGGCCCAGGACAATTAATTAGATTTCCAACCATCTCACGTTTCAGAACGACCGGGATTGGACACATCAGCGGCTTCCTCGTGAGGCACGGGGGTCTCCAGGGACCCCAAATGACGCACTGC